AGTTACACACCGTTAAGTGCCTTCAAGGGTTAACTTGACCAAGTGCCCAGAACTGCGGAAAGAATGGACTGCTGCGGTGGGTGGGGGTGGGCTCCAGAAGGCTAGAAAAGGAGCCAGAGCTCCGAGGTCTCAAAGGGGTGGTGGCAATGGGCAGTGGGGGCGCTGAGCTGAGCTGGGACTGAAGGAAGGAGAAGAAACAAGCAGTAGGGAGGCCAAAACGTCTCTTAGGTCCACAAAGAGTGTGGGCTCCCTCCCCGAGTGTGATCAAATCTGAGGAAGTGGCTGGACTCCAAATTTGATTCTGAGCCAGTGGAAGACCGTCTCCTTGAACTCTGGGGCATCCCGGGGGACTCACTTTTCCTCAAGTAAAGATGAAGGATGGCAGGCCTTCCAGCTCTCCCCCGATGCCCAGAGCTGTACCGTCCCGAAGGACAGTGAGTATCACTCCTCCCACCTGTGACTCGGGGACTGTGGTGAGTCCCCCCGGCAGCAGCTGCCCAAGAGTGGACACAGAAAACAGGTTCCCCAGCCAGAAATCTTTTATTTTTTTTCTTCTGAGACATTATTTAAATTCAAGTTAGTTAACAAGGAGTGTAGTACTGGTTTCAGGAGTAGAATTCAGTGATTCATCGCTTCCGTACAACACCGAGTGCTCATCGCAACAAGTGCCCGTTTAATGCCCATCCCCCAGTTAGCCCATCCCCCCACCTCCCTCCACCCAGGCCAGAAATCTTGTGCTGACAGTCCTCCAGTCTTTTCAGCCCCCAAACGACTGAATAGCTGGGAGAGATGCCCTGGAGGACTTCGGGAGGAGGAGCTCTGGGCCCTGACATTTGTTCTGGGGGAATTCTGTGTTTACTTGTCCCAGGGGCCTGCAAACCCTCCAGGTTGGGACACCACGCTTTATTCATAAGAAATTAATTAATTCACATATTTAGCACCTATTTCCTGAGCTCTATGTTCCAGTCACAACAGAGTAAAAGCTCCTGCATTCTTGACACTTGCTTTGTTGTGGTGGGGGAGGGGCAGATGAACAGGAAACTGGTCAGCAAACCAATGAAGAAAGGAGACAATTTCAGTGTATGATACACACCGCACTGGAAACATCTCAGGTGAATTGGCGGAGAATAACTGGGTGCATGGAGTGGCCAGGAGCTCCATCTCATTTGATGTCAGGAAAGGTGAGTCTTGGAAGAGGCGATATTTGTATTGAGACCCCGAGGATGAAAAGGAGCCAGGCATGGAAACTGCACAGGGAAGAGTGTTCCAGGCAGAAGAGATGTCAAGTGCAAAGCCCAGAGTACAAACGGGGTTTTCCCATTCAGAGAACAGAAAGTTCTTTAGGTCCCTGGGCCTCAAGCTTCCTGAGCAAGGAGGAGGCAAAGCCACCGTCCGATCACAGAAATTCCTGCGTTGAGTTTAACTCCAAGGGCGGTGGGGAAGAACTCAATGCCAAATTGTGGGTGTAATATTCTATTTTCCTAAAGAGAGATTTCATCACTTTCACTGGATTTTCCAAGAGACCTAGGACTCCCCCTTCCCCAAGCATTAGTAATACCCGACTTCGAGGGAGAAGAGCAGGCTCAGGTCCTTCAGAAAGAGGCAGTTTGCAGCTGTAGACAGTGTATTATTCTTTCAGGATAGAGGGAAAGACTCAGGAAAAAAGTTCAAACCATAAGCCTTGAGCAGGACAAGGCTGGGACTTGGAACATTGTCTGGGAATCTTAGGGAGTAGGCAACTTTAAGTGCCCCCAAAACATGGTACAAGGAAAAGCAGAGAGACATAGCAGTGTTGGGGCAGTTGGGGTTCTCATGCTGGAAACCCAGTTCCCAAACACATGGACAGGGAATTAAACACATTTGAAAAATTGCAAAGACTTCTTCCTCTCGTTTATACAACTGCGTCGGAAAGATTTCCTAAATATAAGTGTGACATAAAGATGGCTGAAATCCCCTACAGCTATGCCCCCCTCCCAGTTCCCCTAAACCAGTTTTTCAAGGGGGTCTCTGGAGATCCTGCAGCAGGTAGTCATGGGAGAGATGAAAGCTGACGCCCACTTTTGCTGAACTCATTTCTCAGTTGGCCCCACCCCCTGCGTGCCCCACATCCCTCCTGCCCAAATCACCCAGAAGATGTGCGGATTCGATTTGGAAGGACTTGGACTTGTTAATTAACCTAAACAGTCACATTCGTCTGCAAGGTGCATTATTGTTAATTAAAGCTGCGATTCTCCTTGTGCCCAGACGGCGGGCTGCTCTTGTCAGAATAATTAGATAGCATACGACGGTGTTCAGGCAAATCCCTGGCAATTAGAGCTGGTGAAGAATTGGGTTTGAAATCCCAGTGACGTTTTCAATCAGAATTCCTCAGAGGGCCACCTCTGGGGGAAGGTGATGATGGGGCTGTGGGGTTCGGACATGGGGGTGGGAAAAAGGGTGTGAGGACAGGTATCTGTTTCCTGCAACCTCTGGGAGGGGACCCCAGCCTGGAATAAATGAACTGTGGGCATCGCTGTGATCATCAGTCTTCCCCGAAGAAATAAGTCTCCCCCCGGAAGCAGTGTGGATGGACCTTCCCCAGGGCAAGGTGAGCTCCCCACGCTTGCTTGCTCCCTGCTCTCATCTTTCGGAGAGGATTGTTCCTCTAGCCGGGAGGCCCACTAACTCAGACACAGCGAATGTCCCTGCCCACCCTAAGATGAAATTCTGAAGGGTTCTAAGGAAACAGGAGCTGGGTTCCTGAGGGGTTGCTGAAAAGATGCCAGGTTCAGACCAGTTTGGGGGAGGCCGGTGGCATGCGGTGGGTGGGTTAGATGGCTTGGGGTGACAACTTGGGGTGGGAGGACCCCAGGAAAGTCTTGAAGAAACATCCAAAGTCAGGTTGAGGCTCACAGAAGAAGCATCCCTGTGCAGTAGACAGTGCAGGAAAGGGTCGCGGGGAAGGACTGGGGCAAAACAGCAGGGCAGGGGTGGGATGGGCTGGAGATAAGCGTGGAGAGCCCGCCCCAACCTCCCGGACCTCTTATCAGCCACCAGCTTCTGCCTCGGCCTTGGCTTCGTGAGAGATGTGATAGGGGCTGTCTGGGCTTCTCTCCAGCGAGACCCTGCAGACGCGGTTTGTGTCTAGGGGCTGGGGCCCCGGGCTGGGGCCGGGGCTGGGGCCGGGGCTGGGCCCGGGGTGCAGAGCCCCGGGGGCTTGCGTACAGCCTCCCTAGTATCAGGCTGACCCTGGAGGTTTCAGGAGGGAGAGCACCGTCCACTGCCCGTGGACTAGGTCAGCCTCGCTGCCCCGAGAGGGGGTCGGGGGATGTCAGGTAGGATGGAGAGGGGGCGGGGCTGGCGTGTTCCGAGGAGGAATCTCTGGAAAGAGGATGAGAGAGAAATCCCTGTGCCGCCTTCGCGAACTGTGGTTGGAGGCCTTAGCATAAATTAGGTTTGTAAATTCTCTCTTTTTTCATTTTCCCTTCTCTTCTTTCTGTCTCAGAATGCCTCCCGCGGCTCCATGGGCCCTAAGTCCCGCCTTTCAATTTAGGATGAACCAATCAGCAGCTCCCCCGATGGTTGCTAAGAGACAGGAGGTGGGGGGGGCGGGATTTGGAGGCTTTGTCACGCACCCACCCAGGAAAATTCCTGAGCCTCTCCGCCGCCTGCCCAGGATGTTCTAGCTCGTGCCTGCTCCTCTCCTGCACTCTCCTAGCTGTCTCCAAGCCCAGAGGCGAGCAGGAACGGTGTAGGGGAAAGCCAGGTTAGATCACGTCTTTACAAAACAGGACAGGCTGTGTCCCGATTCAGACAATGGAAGGTATCCTTCAAGTTTCCCCAGCTTTCAACTGGGTTGGAGGGAGAAACTCATTTTTGGGTGTGTGGCATCTTGGGTCGAGGGTGAATTTGCTGGTGGTGGTAGAAGTTGCGTCCCTTACAGAGAGGGCTTATCCACTGTCCTTCCAACCATTACCCAAACCTGGAGAAAAAGCCTCCAGGACCATGACTATGCAACCAGGGCATCAGGGGGATAGCTGGGTTCAAAGGGGAAATTTGGGGCATTCTAAGCAGAAGATGAGTCAGGTCAGGCCCCTCCCCTTGAAGTGCCTCAACCTTCTCGACTTCTTGATTTTTGGTCCCCTGTATGCATCTCACACAGACACACAGGGAAAACTTGGCATAGATGCCAGGGGAAAGAAAACACATTTGGGTAGGAAGTGAGTCGTTAATCCTGATTCCACATTCTGAAAACAAGGATGGAGAGTGGAGCAAAGTGGAGGGAGGGTCTGAGAGAGCGCAGGGCGGGCACACAGGTGTGTGTGGTAGGACACTGAGGGAGAGGCACCCCCACGCGGACTGGTGGTATTACATGCCTGCACCCAGCATGGACGTAGGTGCCAACAGATGGAGACAGACAGATGCACGCACACACACACACACACACACACAAGGGTGCACGCTCACACACACACGGGGATTGAGGTCCTGCCGAGAAATGAACCTCGGGGAGATGACTCTTAGGAAGTGGCTTTTCGAATTATCTTGATATGTTCCCTGGACTAAGGGAGCCCCCCGGGATGCTTCTCTCCCTGATCTCTAAGCAAAGCCAACAGGTGTCAGGGACATAGAAGGCAGAGAGGAAGGCTGGACAAGACAGACAGGGTGGGGAGACATGCTCTGAGTCCTTCTCTTTTTTCTGTTTTCTCTCTCCGGTTTCTATTCCTGTTTCATTTGCTTTCCGGAGCAGCTTCTCTTCCTCCTTCATGTCTTCTAGTTTTTCAAGTGTCCTGCTCCCCTCATACTCTGGCATCTCTTCTCCAACCCCCTTTGAGACGGCAGTAACCCCACACCTCTAGAGAACATCTGTGCGCCCTGAGGAAGTTTGTACATCATCCACTCTCTCCCCAGGCCGGCTAGAGAAACAGACGCCGCCGGCAGGAAGGTCTGGCATGAAATGCCTCTCTCTCCATGCTCCTTCCTCTCCTCTATGTCCCTGGATAAAATAAGAAACCATCAGCTTCATAAAAGCAGTGCAGACTTTAATTCAGGTGGACAGGTGGGAAAAGAGCTAAGACTTTGCTCCCTCGGTGTCCAGATGAGAAGGCTGTCTGAGCGGGAGGGGCAGGGAGGACCGGGAGGTGCGCGCCGTCTGGTGGTAGGACAGGGCCAGGAGCAGGGGTGTGGCTACGCAGTGCAGAATGGCCACGGCCTCTGCCAGGTGCTGTAGCAAGTCCAGGGCCTGCTGGGCCAGACATGTCGACAGGACCAAGGTCTTGGACCTCACGAGAAAGTCCAAGCCCACAACCACCCCATAGGGCCACCAGAACACAAACCAGGCCCACAGGACGTTGACCCAGGGACACGGCCACCTGCCCAGTATTTTCATCAGCGCCTTGGCTCCTAGCAAACCCAGCGGCAACAAGGTGAAGATGGTGAAACAGGCCATGACGTGTGACAGCTGCAGAAACCAGTGGCTCTTGCTGAATGTCACGGAGCAGAATCCATGGGAAGTGTCAGTGGCCAGGGTGACTGGCAGCCCCAGTAGGATAGCCATTCCCCAGAGTCCCACACCGAGCCCCAGGGTGATGTTGGGGACCTGACCTGTGCTCATTTTGGGGCCCAGGCAGGCATGGCAGCCTATCAGCATAGCCTGGGCAAAGGCTGAGCCATACCAGACCATGTGGGCCAGATGGCACAGCACTGTGCCCTGGACACCGTTCAGCCCTGGTGCCAGGATGGGCACCGCAGTACTGAAGAGGGTGCTGCCCACGGCCAGCTGTATCAGGAAAGGCCGTTCGGGGCACACCTGCCAGTGGGAGAGAGGTCTGAGGAGCGCGAAGAGGACCGCCCCACCGGCAAGGATGCCCAGGACGCTGGTGAGGATGAAGAAGGGCAACGAGGAGCCGTCCAGCAGGCTGCACGAGCGGCAGGGGGCAGCTGCGTCCACATTGCTGTAGTTATAGTTCAGGTCATAGGAATCATTAAACTCGTCCCAAATATCGTCTCCAAAGGGGAACTTAGTAGAGTCCTCATCCGCCACCTGGAGGACAGCCCCAGAGGGGACAGACAGTCAGATCATCTGTTTACCCCACTGAAGAGTCCCTGGGAATGAGGGGGCGGGAGGGGGAGACGGAGGGGAGGCTAGCCTGGAGGAGGGGACACAGGGGGACAGTAGGAGAGGATGGAACAGGGAGCCTGGGAACCTGGGCAGAAGAGCAGGGGAGGGGACCGGACAGGAAGCAAGAGCCGGACAAGGTCAGGGCCAGGGCACCAGGGACCCAGATGGATGGGGGACCCAGGAGACCAGAGTTAGAAGGAGAAAAAGGAAACAGAGGGAAGGGTAAGAGAGGAGCGGAGAAGAGAAGAGATGCAAAGGCCCCCGGGCAGACCGAAAGAGGTGGTGAGGTAAAGAGATGGGGGACTATGGGCTTGGCCCCACACTCACCTGGTACTGCAGACAGTTCCCCATGGCACTGCTGGACTCAGGGCAGGCAGAGAGAAGGGCTGGGAACGTCCTATGGGCAGCTGCGGCTCCAAGATAAGTGCCAGGGGCTAATGAAGGCCATCAGTTCTGGGCAGGGCCATGGGATAGGCGGCGGGGGGGAGCTGGGCATTCAGGAAGACTTCGTCCCACGCCCATGGCTTGCCTAAGCCTCAGGAGCAGAAGGGGCACTAGCCCGGGGCTTCCTGTTTTGAGGTTGGATTCCATCGGTGGGGACCTGCGCTCGGGAAAGGAAAAAGGCGGCCAGCAGATAGTGGGTATTTTCCCGAAGGTGGAAAGCGGGGCTGAGAAGCCAGGGGGTTTTCCAGCAAGGACAGAGTCTTCGAGCACCAGGAAGGAAGAGGGGCCAGGGGTGACTTGTGAGACAGAGATAAGAGACCTGCTGGGAAGGCGGAGGGAAGGGGCAGTTGATGACTCTCACTGAGTCTCCACCCCTTTGAACTGGATCCAGGGAAAGCTGGCTCCAGGGCGACATTTGTGGGAGGGGGTGTGAGTGGTGCCTGGGGTTGATCCGCGGGTGGCTGATGGCCCCAGCGCCCCGCCCGTGTGCGCCCCAGTCTATGTGTGTGGCTGTGTGTTGTATGTTGCATGCACATATCTGAGCGCTAGGTGGTAGGCAGGTGTCTGGGTGTTTCCGTGTGAGGACGGGAGGGGCTGGGGGGGCAGCTTTCAAGGCTGCATAATGAAGCTACTTCGGGGAGCGATTGGGCGTTCGTCTAGCCACCTATGGGCGCAATGAATGCGTTTTCCATACCCAGCACAGTACCCGGCCTGATGAGTTAAAGCAGGCTCTGGGGGACAATGGTGCAACATGTTTTAAAATGGGACGGTTGCCTATGGGGTAATCTCTATTCATATTTCTGTTGGGGGACATAAAGGTTCTGGAACGGCTGCACTGGCTGGCATCTCAGCAACATGCACAGTCCCTTACTGGGGTGGGGTCCTCTACTTCTCTCTGGCTGGCGAGCGAAAGCATGGACTCTGCAGACGCAGGCCCCTGAGCCAACACCTCTGCTCTTCTGCAGCAGCCCCCACCCGGCTTCTGCACCATCTCTGACGTTTCCCTGCATTTTACTCTCTCGGGTGGGGAAACAGCCGGGACTTTGGGAGGGGTGAGTCATGGAGTCTCAGGAGCTGGTTAGGTGACACTATTTCACTCCAAGAAAGCATGGCATGTTTCAACTCCAATCTCACCAAGAAGCTCTTTTGCATTTAGGTAGGGGTGCATGGAGCCAGAGTAGGGAAGCCAAGACACAAAAGGTGGGCGCCTTACGCAGATCTTCACCCACTTTCTTCCCAGGATGCCAACTCCAGTTTCAGGTTCAACGTGAGCGGGTTAGACAGTGGTCCCTGGGGAGGGTCTGTCCTGCAGTGGGGCTGGTGGAGCCTCTGCCTTAACCTTCTCCAGCACCGCCTGGCGATGGGCCATGGGGAGCAGTCAGGCACCCCTCCCCAAACACTCTGGAAAGCAAGCACCGGCCAGGACCCCCAAGGGGGCTAAACACCCTTCTCTCCCTTGGAGAGTTCTGTGGTCTCCATACAGGGATGCCCTTGGGAGGGGGCATGGCAAGGCACACGGCCACCCCCAGAGGCGCCGGACGCAGGGGACACCAGCAGGACCACCCTCACACGCACACGTCCCAACTGGAGCAAGAAGGAGGCAGCCGGACGACACGGATAATCCAGATATATTGAGGGTGGCCCCTCTGAGATTAGCACAGGAGAGTTAGAAAGATTATAAAGATACACGATCCCCTCCCTGCTCCCCTCCCCCTCACCCACAGACAGACACACACAGCACAACGGCCCCTCCCCCCCGCCCCCCGTACAAATATGGCTTCTGTGTAATATGGACAGAGTGGTTCAGCTCAAAGAGGAAAGGTGCTGGGAGACAGGGAGCCGACAGGCCTGGGGCCCTAGGCTGCCTTGCTGCTGTGGGGGGGGGGCCCTGGCTGAGGTGGGGGGTGCCTGCGGTGCCCAAGGGCCCTAACCAGCGGCTGGAAGATTCACGAGGCTATGACCTGAACTGAGGGGGTGGGCGAGCCTGCCGGACGCGGCAGGGAGGATGTGCCGGAGCGGGTGAGCGGGGCCGAGGGGCACCCTGGCTCAGGGAGTGTGGGCAACCTCATCTCCACGGCGATGAAGGAAGACAGAAAATCAAAAGCAGGGGTGGAAATGGGAAGGAGACCGAGGTCTCAGCCCCAGCCCTCGCCGCGCAGGGGACAGACTGTAGGGGAAAGAAGTGACAGCGGTCCTCCCAGGGTCGGTGCCAGGGAGCGGCCTGAGGGGTGCATAGCAAAGCTGTGGCACTGGCTCCGTGCCTCTGAGAAGGGAAATTGAGGCAGGGTTTGAATGCTCTGTGTTTTAGGGAGAGGCGAGATGGACAACTGAGCGAAACACATCCTGGGACTGTTTTCTCCATGACCGATGGGCACTGAGGGTGGCCTGGGACGCACGGGGACGGAGCCACAGCCCAGGTGAGGTCCACAGCCTGATTAGGAGCCCGGCCCGCCCGAAGCCCTCCTGGCGGCGTCCCAGCCCCCCCCCCCGCCCGGGAGCCCCCCTCCGGCTCTGTCTCACACACATGTGCATGTACACACGGACACCGTAACCACACACTCACAGGGTTCACATTACGCCCCTCCTCTGGGCAGGACACAGCTCAGTGCAGCGAAGCGCCTTTTAGTATTTTTGTTGTTATGTCTGCCTGGCTGCTGTGGGAACGGGAAGGGGCACACGCAGCACAAGATGGGAGGAGGGGTTGCCGAGCGATGCTGGAGAGAAGTGGTGGCCCAGCGACAGTGGGGCTCGGGGCAGAGCCGGGGGCCGGGAGCAGCGCCTCTCCCACAGCTGCTGGAGCTTCCCCCCCCACCCCGGGGCCTGGCTTCCTTCGCCCCAGGGGCGAGGGGTAACACGGCCCTCTCCGCCATCCTCCCCCCCGCAGATCTACCCCCTCCGGGCAGGGACCTGCGTCCTCCCCATGCGGAAGCCCTGGGTCCCTGCGTGGCTGCCTTCCACCTGCGGGTCACACCTCCTCGGGGCCCCCACTCACCCCTCTCCCGTTGTGCTGGCGGAGGGGTGACTGGGTGGTACCTGCTTCCCTGTCCGTAGCTTGAGGTGCGTGACTAGCAGAGGAAAAGCCCCCTCCAGCTTCTGCTCACCACCTCCCCATTGCCCCCCCCGGAGGCCAGGAAGCTGCTCCATGGTGGAGGACGGAGGGCGGAGGGCCGGGGAGGGCCCCCCACACCAGCCCGGCTTGGCTCCCTGTCCTCACCCCTCCGCCTTCGCTCTCCTCCTAACACTCCAGGGTTGTTCTTTTCCTCACCCAGGGCCCCTGCCCCTCCAGCCTGGAGACGGATTTGATTTGGGATTGTTATAAAAATAATAATAACCCAAACGCAGAGAAGCCACGGAAAGGGCTGAGGGCAACCCTCCCTCCCCCCCGCCCTCCTCCCTCCCCATTCCAAACCGAGTACAAAACCGCACCCAAAGCAGACATTCTGTACAGGGGGGTGGGGAGGGCTGGGGAGCAAGCGGGAGGGGCGGCCCTGGGGTCGCTCTGTACAAGTCCAGGTTGGTGATGGCCCCAGCAGTCCCCGTGGGGCCCCTGGGGGGCGCAGGAGGTGGCTGGGCGCCTCTAGATGAAATACTCCTTCTTGTCGTCCCCGCCCGACTGCCCGCCTTCTGCATTGATGATGGCCGTGTCTGCGTCCGGGGCGTCGTCCGAGCCTTTGGCCTCATGTGTCAGGTAGGTTCCTGCAGAGAGGGAGAAGCTCCTCCTGTCAGTTTCAGGAGCAGTTTCTACACCTCTGAAGCCCGCCCCCCACTGCCCGCCCACCACAGCCGTTCCTGCAATGCTTCTCCTGCTTAGAGCTTTCTACCTCCCCACCTGACCCAGTTTGTATCTTGCTGCCAACATCTATCACCTGACTGCACCTCATGAATTAATGAATGAATGCAGTCCTTAATTAGAATCTTATTTATAAAACAAGAAAAAAAGCCCCATGTGTGCGTGTGTATAGATGCATGGGTGTGTATATGTGTGTATACATGCACAGGTACGTGTGTATGGGTGTATGCATGGGTATGCGTGCCTACACGTGTGTAAGTGTGCATGCGTGTAAGCACACGCATGTACATGTGTGCCCCTACGGGTGTGTATGTGTCTCTGTGTGTACATGCATGTATGCATGTGCATGTGTGTCTGCACGTGTGTAAGTGTGTGCATGCATGTGAGCACACGCATGTACATGTGTGCTCCTATAGCTGTGTGTCTGTGTACCTGTATGTGTGCACGTATGCATGTGCGTGTGTGTCTGCACATGTGTGTGTGCGCATGTGAGCACACACATGTACATGTGTGCTCCTACGGGTGTGTATGTGTCTCTGTGTACCTGTATGTGTGCACGTATGCATGTGCATGTGTCTGCACATGTGTGCATAAGCATGTGTGCGCCTCTATGTATATGCATACATGTGAGCATGTACATGTGCCTGTGTGTGTACCTGTGTGCGCAGGTATGCATGTATGTGTGCATCTGCACATGTGTGCATAAGCATGTATGTGCGCCCGTGTGTATATGTGTACGTGTGAATGTGTGCATGTACATGTGCGCACCTCTAGGTGTGTGTGTGTCTACGTGTACACCCGTGGGTATGTGTGCACGTATGTGCATGTGTGAGTATATGCGTGTACCTGCGTGCACGTGTGTGTATGCATACATGTGTACCTCCATATGTGCATATGTGTGCACCTGTGTGCACATGCATGTGTGTACACGTGAGCAGGTGTGTAGTGAGCATGCATGCCCACCCTAGGTTGGGGACAGGGAAACTGCAGGTCAGCCACGAGCAGGTAGCTGAGATCCGGGTCAGCCCATGCAGTTGGACTGCTGGCTAAAGTAGGTACAGAGGGAAAGTCTGTGAGGAGTCAGCAGGCTTGGATACAGGAGAGGAGAGGAGAGATGGTGTGGGGACAAGGCGCCGGGGGACCAAAGGACAAAGAGATGAGAAAGGAAGCCAGCACAGGAAGAGATGGGACGGAGTGGCAGAGTCGGCAGGTCTCTGCCTGAAAGCACGAGACCCTGGGGGCAGAGCGGTGTGGGAGCAGCCGCGGACTGAGTGGGAAGGCTCCATTTTACTTGGGTGATCACCGAGGGATCGGGCTCTACTGCGGGTTGGTGGTGCTCAGTCATCACAGGGCTGGCTGTCTTCTTTCTTCCTCTCACACTCCAAGGGGCCAGCAGAGTCCCCAAAGGCCCGTCCTGCAGCCGGCTCCCGGCTGCCTCCCTACCTGCCCTCAGGCTCCCTGCTGCCTCTGACCTTTGTGCCGGATCAAGTAGTGGCCGAGGAAGATGAGCAGGATGAGCAGCAGGAAGACGATGAATGCCACGATCCCACCAATGACGGCGTGGTAAGTGCTGGAGGACGAGGGTACCGGGCTGGGGTCTGCGGGGAGGGATGCACACAGTCAGATCTGGGGAGGGCCCTGGTCTTAGAGCATCTCTGGTCTGGCCATGGGCAATCGGACTCAGCACAGAACACGGGCTGACGCCAGCAGAACGGACTGGATCATACGGCAGGGGGGATATGCCTTGTTTTGTACCCTTTTTTCTTACACAGTGTCTGGAACGCAGTAATTGTTTAAAACAATTATGCATTCCTGAATAAATGGACAAATCTGCTCACACTCAACCCTTTAAATTGTTTCTGGCACGGAAGCTTTGGTCAAAGTTCACTGCTTTAACGCCTACATCGTCTCTTGTTCTCGCTCTTGCTTTTACTTTTGGGATATCAGACTATATCCCTTCTATCTCCTCCAGGCCCTCTTACCTCCTGTCTGTTTGCCATTCAGAGCTGGCCTCTCTAGCGGGGCCCCCGACCTATTCCCTGTCCCCCGGAGACCAGACAGAGGAGGGGCAGTGAAACACCGACGAAGCTGGGAATGGGGACTCTGAAAGCACCTCCCAGAGGGCCACGGACTACAGCTGCTGTGTAAAGAGCAGTTCTGAGATGCAGTGAAATCCCAGTCCTCCAGCACGCCCCCTCCGGGAGGTCTGGGACTCCAGCATCACATCCCACCATCCAGAGGTTTGTGGGAAAGGCAAAGACTTCCTTCATGGATGCAACCCCCCCGCCCCCACCCCAAGCTTCCTCCCATGGTGGCTAATGTCTCTGCCCTCCACTGCAGCATCTACGGGGTGGGGGGGCATGTAGATCCTCAGAGCACACACTGGGCCACGCATGCCACGGACAGCACCAGCCTAGTCTGGGTCCCAACTATCCAAGACAGTGCCCAGGCCCAGGACACAGTTCTGATGTGTCCAAAACTACATTAGCCGTCGATACAACTCTCCCACCCATGGGAGTGCTACTGTTTTCCCACAGACTCAGCTTGAGTCTTGATGCCCCACTGACTCCTTGTATATTTTGTCTTTCCTATCTTACGCCTCCTCAAGCTCGACTGGGCCAGCTTCTTGGTTCCTTGACTGTTGCTATGCCTAATTTGACAAGAAAACATTTATGTTTTGGTTTTTTATGCTCTGCTTGGGGGTGGGGGGAGGATTGGCCTGGAGGCTCCATGATATGATGAGGTGGGTGTGAGGGTGTTGAGTGGGAAGAAGCAGAGGGACGTCGCCCCTGTCTTTCTCCCAGGCAGCAGGTGACACACAGTCCACACTAAAAAAAAAAAAAATTAATGCTGGATAATTGTTCCGAGGCTATGGAAACGGAAATGCCTTAGAAAAACAGAGCTTTCCATGGCCAAAATGCCGTGTGGGGTCATCAGTTACAGATCCCTGTCTCTGCTGGAACTCCTTTATTCCTTCCAGGCTGGTGGGGCCAGGACTGCTCAGGAGACGCCTGGAAGGAGATGCAGAACCTCCTCCTACCGCCGGGTGTCAGCACTGGAAGTGGACGCTGCGAGACAGGACTGGGTGGGGGAGGGCGGGCCGGCAGGAGACCAACCACCAACCACAGGGGCCAAGAACTTTCAGCGCCCTGCCGGTCAGCCTTGGAATTGGCAGGGGGAGATCTGGGGGCTGACACTGGTCCTTGATGCTGGCATCCTACATTAGCTTTGCTTGTGGTGCTGAGGCAGTTCCCACATACCCAGGCCTGTCCTGGAGTCAGATTCACCCCATCTACACAAACACCACGCTCCCACGGGCCTCGGGTCTCTTATCCATGGGAGGCCCGACTGCCATCACCTCACTGACTGAACGGACTGAACGGGCATTTCCAGCAAGGGAGCCTCTGGTGTTCCCCCGACAATGCATTTCCCCTATTTTGAGCTTATAAGGTTTTCTGGCAGGACCCCACTGCCACTGGGATCTTCAAAAATTCTGCCCACTTAATTGTGCAAGACTGTTGAATCTCAGATCTGTACCTCTGAAACAAATAATGCAATATATGTTAAGAAAAAAAAAAAA